AAGTGGTGAATTCCTAGTTTAAGCACAAATTTGAGAGAACAAAGGAGACGGCTCCAAAATGGAGTCATTTTGGTCCCACATTAATCATTCTTTCTTGTTCTCATTTGATATTTAAAATAGATGTGTTCCTATGAAATTGCTAGAAGAATAAATAGGTGAGGTGAGCAAATAGGTTTTGTCAGGCCCTTTTGCCGAAGTACACTCTCAAACTAATTTTTTTCTTTTTAATAAAAAGAAAGTTCGTTTACCTGAAGGTTTTTCTTTGGAGTACTGGAGGTTGGGTCCAGGTTCTCATGCATATGAGATAAGCACTCTACCACTAAACTCCATTCTTCAGCCCTTTAAAAATTTTCATTTTTAAACCGGGCATGGTGACACACACCTCTAATCCCAGCACTCAGAAGGCTGAGGCAGAAAGATTGCTGTGAGTTCAAGGGCAGCCTGAGCTGCATAGTGAGCTCTCAAGGCCTGAACTACATAGTGAGACCCAGTCTCAAAAAAGAAATTTTTTTTTTCATTTTTAGGCAGTCTCACTAAATTGCTCAGTCTGATGTGTTAGCTACTTTTCTCTCATTGCTAAGACACAATACCCAACACCCAGGGTTAAAGGGGAAAGGGTTTATATAGCTCACAGTTCATAGAGGTTTCAGTCCATAATCGCCTGGCTCCAAGGCAGTGTGGCACATGGCAGAGGGGCCTTGCAGAGGACAAATAGTTCATGGCACCTAAACAGTATAGCAAAAGCAATAAGGAACCTTAACAGAGTCTTTCTGCCCCTTTTATCTTAGAGTACTTAGGGCAGCACTCATGCCCTTAATCCCAGTGCCCTCAGGCCTACCCCCACCATGAATCAGTCACACACTGTAAATTCAGCCAGCTCTGGAAAAGCACAGGGTTTTGGGGGTAACTCTAAACACAAGCTCTAACAGCCTCACCTTGAACTGACAATCCTCCTGCCTCTACCTCCCAGATAGCTGGGATTCCAAGTGATTACATCACTGTGCCCAGACCCTAAGATTTTAACATTTCATCTTTTGCTCCAAACACTGAAGCTGTCACCTTCAAGAAAGAAATGATCTCAAACCCATGTTTTGCAAGTACATATTTGCCACTTTCATCGACCCTTCCTAGAACTGCATTCCACCGAGCACAGAGGCTGCCATTGTTTCCCACTACCAATAGTTACTGACCTGGAGCTCAGGTGACCTGTCAGAATTCACAGGTGAGCTCCCTCCCTGCAAGCTTCCTGTCATGAAGCCTCTTGCCCAGCCCTCCTCAGCTCTCCTCCATTTGCTAACACACATTTGGCCTCCTTTTTATAAAGAGACAGACTGAAGATTTGTCTACATGGCAATTAGAATTGCAGAATTGTTTTAAAGGAAACAAACACCATCACCAAAAGCCCAATGGAAATACCAACCACAAACAGATAAATTTTGCAAAAAGAAAAAGACAAAGTTAATATTCTCATTATAAAATGAGCACTTTCCTTTTCACTAAGAATTAAGTGGGTTCCCCTTTAGAAAAGTTGGCTGAGGACAGAAATGTTAAGTTAGGAAAGAAGAAATACAACTAACCATGGCCTTTTCAGTAACTATGAAAAGATAAAAATATCCCAATTTACATGAATCAGAGAAATACAAAACTTTAAATTTTAAAATTTATTTCAACATGAGTATGTAGCTCAATGCAAAGTTCCTGGGCTCAATTGTTCCCTCAAAAAAAATTTTGTTTCAAGAGTTTTAAATTGGCAAAGATAAAAAGGAATGTTAAACCTAATGTACACAAAGATTAGAAAAGATGGGCACCGTCACAGCAGATTTTTAGGACTCTAAGACCTAATCAAGAAGCCAGTGATTAGTGTTATGCCTGGGCTCAGTACCGCCATTTCTATAGACCCCAGCTTCTTCCTGTGGAGACACATCAACCACATATTGCTGAGTGGAGAAACAGCCGGACCAGTGTGATTCCATTCATCTATGATCACTTACAGTGTATAATCAGATCTGTACAACATACAAACGAGGAAGGGTTTATGAAATTGGTTACAGCAGTTTCCTCTGATGGTGAGATTTACAGGTATCTTGTTACCAAGTTTGAGAGACCCGCCTGTTCCTATTTCATCCTCACACAGCAACTTGACAGAAGCCTACAGCCCCTTCCTTCCCCTTCTGGAAATTAGGATGGAGGAGTCCTTGGGCTGAGCTGGATTTTTAGGGCACATTCACAGTGGGGAAGAGTAAATGTAGTGTGAAGAACATTTTACCTACTGAGAAAGGTCACTCATGTTGAACAGGGAAATGATTTCTGATCAGAAGAAACCTGTGCTGCAGCTAACTGGGTAGCAAACGAAAGGCTCCTCCTGGCTCTGACCCCTCCTACACCTAAAACACGTCCGGCAAGTATGAGTGCGACCCCATGATTTCCTTGTCTTTTGTGTGTGTGTGTGTGCAGGGGATTGAACTCGGGTCCTTGCACTTGCACAGCAGGCGGCGAAACCACTGAGCTAGATCCCCAGGCCTCTTCACTGTCTTTTGATCTCAGTAGAGTTTCTGTGACCCCTGCTTCTCGCCATATGTAAATAAGGTGAATCTTAGTGTACCTTTCTATCCAATTGCATAAGCTGAATGTATCTACCTCAACCAATGAACTAATGCTAAGTTTCTTGCCATTGTATCCTCACCACCTCCCTTTCCAAATCTACATAAACCCTGTTCACTGCCCAGACAAGGCTGATCGCTTTGTGGAGAGGTCCCCCCATCGGTCCACTAGCAAAGTAAACCTGACTTCCAGGATGTGTGCTCGATTCTTCTCTGCCCGACTCTGTTATACCACCTATAGCTACAACAGTGTGAGTTATATTTGCTACAATAATGATAATGCTAAAAATAAAGAACAACCACCTTAGGAGCCTGAAGAAGCTTCCTAGACTGAGCTTCCCTAATAACCAACTTGCTCATGTGTAATTTCTCTTTTTTTTTCTTTTCTGGAGCGTTTATCCCTACCCTCTACTCTTTTGTATTGTGTGAATCTTTTTCTTTCTTTTGAGAATGAAAGGTTTACAGTGTTCCGGAAATCTTGGAAAGAAATACACAGAGACACAGAATTCAGGTAAAATAATAAAATTTCTACTCGTGAGCGGGCGGGACTGCCAGAAGGGTGAGACTGCCAGAAACTGGTCTGGTTAGTATCCTTGCGCACCCCTTTGTTCAGCGTTTCCCTTTTTACATCCTTTTTAGCATCTCATCCCTAGTGGTCCTTGATGTGTAAATACAATTCCAGTTCCTATTTATAAGTCACAAACACGAGATAGGCACATATACATTGTAAATTCACCCTGGCATTGCAACTTTGTTAGGTTAATGAAGTTACTGGTTAAAGAGTTAGATTACCTTCCCCTTAAACAAGGAGAGTTATGGGAAAAGCAAATTTTAAAAGAACACATTACTTATTTTGCTTCTACAACTACCTTAATATTCAATCTATTAAGTTATCTAAAACTTTTCCCTATCAACAGGAAGCAAGCCAACCAAGCCACAGTAAATGGTCTAGCAGATGGTGTCCTCCCACCCCAGCCACCCTACAACATACAATGATCCAAATGGGCAAGTAGCTGAGGTATATAACAAACACGTGAGCATCTTGGGATGGGGACGAGTAGTGGGAGGTTTTCTGGGCTTTTCACTCCATTTTCTTGGAAACAGTTGAGCTTATTTAAATGTGTCTGGATGGACAGTGTTATGAAGAACAAAAATGAGAATTTACTTTTGTTTTTGTTTTTTGGTACCAGGGATTGAACTCAGGACCTTGTGCTTATGAGGCGGGCACCGGAACCACTGAGCTAAATCCCTGGCCTGAGAATTTACTTTTAAAAATCAGTTTCAAAATTTCTTCTCTCTGGACCCAAAATTCACCCTGAAGAAAAGATTGAGAGGAAAAAAAAAAGTGAACCTTGAGTTTTCAGTGAAGGTGGGAGAGGGTGACCCTTTCTTCTGCTCAGGGGCTAGAAACCCCTCAGTCCAGGTGGACCTGAGGGACGTTGGTGGACAAAGACTCTGGTGACCTTCTAAAAGGACTTCTTGGCCCAGGCAGACCCCAGGTTGCTTCATCTTCTGGTTTCAAAAAGAAGGCAGACAAGGGTTTTCATATCATTCTCCCATGGGTGACTGATTGGAATATTTAAACGATGTATGAATGAAATGAACTTGAGCAGGAGCAGCCTTGGAGATCATCTTATTGAGTCTCATTTTGGAGATGACCATCTAAGCCCCAGAGGAGGAAATGACCTGTCCAGAGGAGCCCAAAACCTGGACCATGTCTAGAACTGCTAATTATGATGTGGTCTGACTGACTGAGTGCCTGATTGTGCTAGGGATTGAAGCAAATGCCTTTGCACTGAGCTACATCCTCAGTCCTTTTTTATTTTGAAACAGGGTCACTATGTTGCCCTGTTCAGCTTGAACTTGTGATAGTCCTGCCTCAGCTTCTCAGAGTGCTGGGATTACAGGTGTGTGCCATTATGCTCAGCTGGTGGTGTGATTTTATTAACTAGCAGCACCTGATGGCCCTTTCAAGTAACCAGAAGTAGTTAGGTTAATCCCCTGCTACCCTGCTTTTTTCTTTCAATTACTTGTGCATTCATATTTATCTCATCTTCGTTATTTTCTAGGCAATTTGGGGAGTTATACAGAGAGTATTTTTTAATGCTAAGTAGTTAAGACTTTGTGAGGTATACTTTTATGATGTAGTTTTAGTTGTCTTGGCTTATGCTCAGGAAATTTGGGTTGAACATTTCCACCTTCTGTATTTTATTGATATTTTCTTTTCCTTTTTTTTTGGTACTGGGAATTGAACACGGGTCCTTGTGCTTGCGCAGCAGGCGGCGAAACCACTGAGCTAAATCCCCGGCCCTTATTGATATTTTCTTTGAAGCCAAATGTAGGATCAATTTTTGCAAAGATTCCAAGCCCAAAGTAAAAATAATGTTTATTTTCATTTGTAAGGCACTGGATTCTATGCATGTGTTAATTGGAAGATTATAATCTTCGCATGCGCCATGTAATTTATTTTGTTTTACTAAAACTTTCAAATTCAGAATATATTAAGGTATTTCACTACATTATGTGTTGTGCACAGTTTAAGTCCTTATATTTTCAGTTTTTGTTTTATGCATCTATATGTTATTTGGAAGATCAAAATTTATAGATGTTTTATTTTTTCACAGTGTACATTACACTGTACTCTAATAGGTCTTACAACTGTGATTAATGCTTTGACTTTAAATTTCACTTTGTCTGGTGTTTATCTATTCCTGCTTTCTCTTTGGAGTACATCTGTTTGGTTTTCCTTTGTCAATCTTTTATTTTCTCTAAGTATGTTGCTTATTTTAATATAAACTACACGTGCTAATTATAAAAAGTTTGTGTAATTCAGAAAATATGAAGAAGAAAGCACTAAATCACCAAAGTTCTACTACCTAAAGATATCACTGGACTGGTTTCATTCTGGACATTTTTCTATGCCCAGAAAGAAAGCAAGATCTTAGAGGAAGACAGAAGCAGAGAGAAAGACAGAGACAATGAAACAGATAAAAGCAAATTATGTAGGGCTGGGGATTTAGCTCAGTGGCACCGTGTCTGCCTTACAAGCGCAAGGTCCTGAGTTTAATCCCTGGTACAAAAAAAAAAAAAACAGAACCCAAAAAACAAATTATGTAAAGATAGTATCATACTATATGAAACATTTTTAAAACTAGTGCTACATTTAATTTTAAATAAATTTAACAGGAACAAAAGCTTAGGTCAAACTGTGTTTCGGATCATTGTACCTCTCAACAAGGAAAATAAATTTTTAGAAGACGCCACCAAATTTAAAGGAACTTGAAAAGTTGAATTCATTGAGGATTTTACAAAATGTTATTCCATATAGACAGGATTGACTGATTATATTATAGGAAAGAAAGGATAAGCATTCAGATACATCCTCCTTCTTGCTCTCTTCTTCCTCTCAGCTGCAATGCTGATAATATTCTAACTGTCTGAGTTTACAAGATTTCCAATGTGGGACTGCATAACTCTGTAATCATAAAACTCCCCTAGCCCCAAGCGTGATTGAATGTGAGTAAATAGATAAAGATGCTTGTTAGTTCCGGGACACTAGATAAGATCTGTATCAGCCATAATTATTCAACTCTTTGTTCAAAACCTGATGTTCGAACACCGCTATCTATAGAACAATCTACAAAACATCTGCGGACCATCAGTATGTGTCAGACTAATTAACATGCAAATGTAAGACCACTAACCTTTGTTCCCTCTTCTGTAAATTTCGCCTCTTAACTCCCCTGCAAGCCCCTATAAAAAGAGTCTTGGACTTTGGACTAAGCCTCTCTAAACTACTCTGCTTTGGGAGTGCCGTCTGGCCAGACTAAGGTCTGTTTCACTTTCCAACTTGTCCGGTGTGTTCCTTCCTGGGTGTTCTTCACTGCAGTCAGCTCCTTGGAGCATTTGGTAAGGACAGCAGTCTTACACCATGTGCATTCTGAAGCTTTAGCTATCTTGGGTGTTTGATAGCATTCTTATACCTGAGCAGAGTATCTGCTCCCATGGATCCCTTGGTACAGGGCTCATGGTTCTGCAATCACTGAAGACTGAACTCGTGAATCAAAGGAGGAGGTTGGGGGAGTTTATTGGAAATTAAAAAAAAACAAAAACAAAAACAAAACAAACCTCCTGGTTTTCCAAGAGGAGTCCTAAATGGTGTAGCCTTACCTGGCCCCCATCCAGAGTTAATATAGATATACAGAAGGCAGTAATTTCTAGATTGTTTAGGGGTCACCTATCAGATATTTCTGTGGACCTAAAATGATCAATTGGAACTCAGACTTAACCCAGCTCTTCAACAGGCAAGGCTTACGGGAAACTGGGATCTTAGGAAAAAACTGGCTCATTTGCATTATAATTTCCTTGAAATTCAGGAATTTAATACGGAGTGGCTGCACCTCCTTTTAGTAGAGAGTTGTCTGTGTTCCTTGCTGCCTGAGGAAGTTCAATTCAAATTCCTCAAACCTCATTCTTTGTCCAAAGTCCAAATTCGCTGTCCATTCTGTTTTTGTTTTCTCTTTTTTAAGAGCAGGAAGAATTTATTGAAAGATAGCTTCTGTCTAAGAGAGAGAGAAGGGAGACCAGAGAGTGGGCTGCCTGCCCACCTAGATGTTTTATTGAGCAAAGCCACAAGGTGAGGCGGGTACAAGGTGGGACAAAACTACTACTATTAGATAATTAATAAGATTACAAATATAGTTGCTTAAGTACATTTTTTTTTTTTTTGGTATGGGGATCAAACTCGGGTCCTTGCGCTTGCGCAGCAGGCAGCAAAACCACTGAGCTAAATCCCCAGCCCTGCTTAAGTAATATTGATCAATGGGAAATCATGAGGTGGGGCAAAACTATGGTCAACCAATAAGATTACAACAAATACAGTCCCTTAGGCAATATTGATTAAATGGGGAAGCAAGTCACTTAGCAAGCATATATGGAACAAACAAGGATTAGCAAGCATACATGGAACAAACAAGGATTTCCAGGAAGGAATGGACTGAAGATGTTTTGGTCCACACTCAACCTGAATGCCTATTTGGAATATTAATCACTGTTGTTCATCCCTAGGGGAAGTATGTGGGTGTAGTCCTTCCTCTTTTTTGAATCTCAACCATCTGTAAACGTGTCTTCTGCATTGATTCCCTCCAGGGCTCAGCCCTGTCTAACTGCCTATATCTCATTAATTTAGCAGTCTACAATGTTTCCCCCCCTCTGAAGAAGTATCCCTAACTTTGGTTAGGGGAGAAGGGGTGTAGTTTCCATCTAACTGCTTCAAGCTGAGAAGGGTTGATATAGAGAAGACCACAGTCAGGGGCCCTCTCCAGAAAGCTAATCTAATGGGCCTCAGAAGTCATATTGTAGTTTAGCAGTTATGAACTTTTTACAAGGTTGATCTAGTAATTCCCGTAAAAAGAGTATAGGACATTTTTGGTTGATTTCATCTGTATGATCTCTTGGAGTTTGGCAGCCTCTAGGCAAGAATAAACAAAATTTTCAAGAAATTAGAGCATGTATAATCAAAGCGTAAATACTAGAATAGAAAAGCAGATTGGGGAAAGAGCTGTGAGACCAAAGTGACTCCATTTTGCTAATGTGAGACCAGAATGACTCCATTTTGCCAAAATGGAGTAGTCTCCTTTGTTCTCTCAAATTAATGATTAAATATGCTCGATCTGGGACAAAAGACACAATCTGTAACACAAGATTCCTAAGTTTATTACTCAGCCATCTGTTTACCCAGGAAATGAATATCCTGGGCCCATTATCTGTAAGAACAATCTGTCAATGTGCTGTCAGTACTGGGTGGTAGTGACCATTAGTCACCGTGTCTGCTGGCCATCAATACGTGACAGTCGCCCACTAACCTTTGTCCTTCTTTTCTTTTGTAAAACCTACATGAAATCACCCCTTACCCACCGCCCCCATGAGTTCAGCCAATCAAAAATGTACACTCCAAGCTCGCTAAATGTTAACCAATCATGTAATTGCTAAGTGGAAAATCTCCAAACCTTGCTGTAACCTCTATAAAAACCCCACTAATTTGGAACTCGGGGCTCTCAATCTTGATCTGCTGTGTCGGTGACAATTGAGAGTCCCTGCTTAAGCTTGAATAAATGACCCTCGTGTGCTTACATTGGAAATGGCCTCCTGGTGGTCTTTGGGACTTCGCAATCTGGGCACAACAGAGCCATATTTAGAAACTGTTCATAAGGGACTGAAATAGTG